TATCTGGTCTGGGCTCCTGCATCCTTCTGTGGGGCTAAACAGTGGATGTGACACTTGGGGACATGGTTTAGTGATAAACATGGCAGTGCTGTGTTAACAGTTGGACTCAACGAACTTAGAGGTCCTTTCCAACTTACACAATTCTGTGATTCTGAACAGCAATGGAGACTGGTGTCATGGGAGGCAGCTGGAGGTGAATCAGAAGCTGGCCCTGTTCTATCCTTTGCACGCAAAGCAGCGTCACAGAAGTGACTCAGAGTATTAACTGACTCAACCCTTCACAGCAGCTTTGCAACCAGCATTACAGGGTGATGTGGCTGCAGACGGAGGGCACAGGACCCTCCTGCTGTGGTTACTGTAGGTAGGAGCAAGGCAGAAGTCTGCATTTCTTTTGCACCATGGTTCAGGGCACCCTGCTCCTGGTAAGGCAGATGCCCATCGCTGCGGTGAGGCAGTCACGCCCGTTCAATAGATAACCCTGTGGGGGTGACAGCTGTCAGATCTCTCTTTGCACTGTGCAGGCAGGGATGGAACTGAACTCTGACCTGCCAGGAGAGCAAGGCAGGCACCAGAGGGGTGAGGGGACCTTTGAGCTCTGCCAGCCTGGTTGTTTCCTGATCCCTAAGCACAGCTCTTTGTGCCCAACCTGAAGAAACTAAGGTAGTGTGGGGTGGAGCTGGGTTGCTCCGTGCCACCGCCTTGCTGAGGCATGCAACAGGCAGACATGGCGTGGAGTGACACACTGCCTGTGTTCTGGGGTGGTTGGGTGCTGCAGGGTGTCATGGCCTCACTCCTGCTTCCAGGATACCACTGCTAGCTGGGATAAAGCTGTTCTTGAGTAGGGAAGCCTGCCATTCTCCCCAGCTGGTGCTTAGAGCATCCTCACCTGCTGCAGGCCTGCCTGGGGCAGGAGTATCACTCCCAGCCAGCCAGGGGCCTCCCCACAGCACGGTGTCTGCTCCCCTCTTTTCCCTACCCATGCTGGAGAAGTAGCCCTGCGTCCTGACACCACAGCAACCACCTCTCTCCTTATAGCGATGCAGGCAGTGACAGAGATGCTGGAGGCCGGGAGGGAGCAGAGCCTCAAGGCGAGGGGATGCCTGTGAGCCGGGTCGGCTCCTGCCGGGCACAGAGCGACTGGAGTAGGCACAACACAGTCACGTCTTGGAAAAGGGAGCGATGGCAGAGGCCGCAGAGCTGGAGAGCGGGGGGACCGCGGCTCGGGAGGGACGAAGCAG